CCTCTTTTAATAGAAGAGGGATGTTCTCTTATTTATCTATCTATTTATTTATTTTTTCTCTATGTTCATATTTTCAGAATAATTTTATATAGAACAAAAAAGATTGAATAAAAGAGAAATTTCATTTGAAAAAAAAAAACTTGGCCCAAGTATTGCTCAAATCCAGTAATATAGGCCCATGATTGCCTTATACTAGAAGCCCTCCACTCTCTCTTTCTCTCTCTCTCTCCCCGTTTCTCAGCTTTAAGCCCCGCCGGACCTCCTTCAGGTACTCTATCTTGCACGCGCTTGAATCTGTTTTAGCACATAATAACATCTTCCCTTATTCTATTTGCTTCTTTTTTTTTTCGTTTCCGTTTAAGGTTTAGTGGAAGAAATTTAAAAAATTTGGAAGCTACCAAACAGTGTTTTTGTTGATGGAAGAGGTAGTTTCCAACTAATCAGAATGTATTTTCTAATTAGTAACCAGAAAAGGAAAATTAATTTTTTTATGGTAAATTTTCTTTGTAAAAATGGACAAGTTGGTCTTATGTTTGTTCCGAGAAACCATTGATTTCTTTATGTGTTCTGTTTATCGTTTTGATGGCCATCAAGAAATGTACATTGTCTTTGTTATAATGTTATCAGTAAAGTTCCTCTGAGGTGAGTACCCGGTCGTAGACGGCTCGTGGATTAGTCGGGGTGTGCGCAAGCTAGCTCGGACGTCAAAAAAAAATGTTATCAGTAAAGTTGGATTTCCTTTCAAAATTAGTCTATTGAAAACATGATCATGAGCTATAAATATACTTGGAAAGAAGGTTGCATCTATCTAGTTGTAGATATATTTGAATTTCCTCCATGTGAATTCAATTTGTATGATAAGCCAGGAGATTTTGGGGTTTTGAACCCATTCAATACGATCAGTACTAGGTGTTACAGTAAAAATGTACGTAGGTAAAATTGCTAAAACATTCTCTAGGTTTGTAGTTTACATTTCTTTTGGTTCTGCTTCAAGACATCTTGCTTCTTGGTTGGATTTCATGTTTAGGTGTTTACACCCAACAAGAGAGTCTCCGATTAAGCTTTCTGGCATAGCATCGGGATCACAATATCTCTACCCACACTTGAAAAATTCTCATCTGATCTGCTGTTATGAGTGTTTTCGTAGTAAGAGGACTAGTGATTGACGCTCCACCTTTGTGGGGTGGCCTATTAGGATAGTAACATTCATGTATTTGAAGTGAATTTTTCTTTAAGTTTTGCTAGAATAGATGTCAACTTTTGGCTTTCTTGATGTTACTTTTATTTCAATTGACTGGTAAACCTAGAAAAGTTGAGTAAATTAGGTTTATATTTAGTATTATCACCGAAACTACTATTCAATTG